GGCCATGTTGCCTCCTGCCATTCTGTTCGAACGCAGCGCCATAGCACTGCCGGGCGCTGTCAACAGGGCTTTCTCCAATGCAAAAGCCGACATTCCACTAAGGCCTGCTCCCGGAACGAACGCCTGGAACATCCCCTTCTTTATCTCGTCGGTGGCATCAGAAGACCGGGATCATCCACATTGTCTGCTAGCTATCTGCATGGCCTCGCGCCTCCTCCTGATCTCTCCCGCTTAGCCTTGGCCCCCTGGTAGGTGCGGCCCCAGTGCTCTCATTTCCCTCATCGGCGTGTCTGTTGACCCTCTTCTCTGCCGCTCTCTGCAGCTGTCGGGCGGCCCCGTCTCGCCTTGGGCCTCGAAGGGGGACCAGGTGGTTAGTTCTGGCTGGGTTCAAGCTCCAACTTCCTCGCTCCAGCTTGCGCTCTAGGCGCTGCGTGGTGGCATTGGTCTGTCTGCAATCCTTCTCGCATGGGCTCTTGGGCGGTCCGAGATTTCTTCGCTCTCGCCAGGGGCCGATTGGTGCCGGGGCCCTGGGCGAGCCGGGGAATCCTCGCCGTCGCCGAGCGCCGACTGGCGCTCCGAGATTACCTCGCTAACCCCAATCGCTTGCGGGGTCGGTCTCGACGAGACCACTGCGTGGATCTGGGTGATGTCGTCCATGTACGTGGTGAGCGATAACTCGTGCCCTTTATTTTTGACTGGGTGCACTGTATCATGTGCTGTCTGCATCTCGTCCCTCCCCCATTCTTCCACTGGTGACAATGTCCCACGTAGAGGTTGCATGTATGATTGAACTGCCATGGGCATAAGTAAAACCATTTGCGCACCCCGCGTAGATCCTGCATGCAGCCAGTCGTCTGCGCATTCGATGCTCATGGGCGCGCGGCGCGGCGCCTCGACAGCGCGCGGTAGGTCCCCCTCTTTCGACGCGGCGAAGACTGATGCTTGCGGGGGGGTGCGTCTTTGTGCAGAGCCACTCCCATTGAGCAGCGCGCGCGCATGACTCCTTTTTCCTCCAGTCCCCTTTTATAAATTGCCTTTTCTGCTGATATGGGAATGGACCTGTGCCAGTCCAATGGCGTGGCTTGAGATTGGCGACGCGCAGTAAGGATGTCCACCAGCTTGTTCCTGCGCCCCATGCGCGCGTCTTGCTCCAGCGCCGACGATCCCAGCCCGGCTTTCTCGCGTCTCCCCAGGCTGTCGCCCGCGGTGCTTCACCGTCGCCGTCTCTGTCTGTCCTGCCCGGCGCCCTGCCTGATGTCCACCCCATTTTCAGTGCAACCTGCGCAGTCTGCACTTGTGGAGTGAACTGGGCTTGCCCAAGTCCTCCTCGTCATCTCGCTTCTCCGCCGCCCGCGCCTCCTGCTCCTCCAGCTTCCTGCTCAGCTGCTCCGGGAATTCCAAGTTTGCCGTGGGTTCTCGTGGCACCCAGGTATATTCCACTAGTACTCTCCACAGGGGGAAAGCCCTCCTTGTTGCCGCGTTCCTGCAGTGCTTCAGCATGTCTCTTTTGCCCCTCTCCACTTGGGGTTTCAGCTCCATGTCCAATGGGGGGCGGCGTTTTCTCTGTTATCCTCTTGTCATTCCCCTTCTCGTGCTCTTCCAAATGCACCCGTTCTTCCGCCGGCCCCCCTCGCGAGGGTGTTCGCCCAGTTCCGCGAGCCATTCCTCTGTGCTCCACCATGTCCGCGCTGAGAAATGATGCATGTGTTGGTCCTCTCCAGCCCCCGTGGCATTCCACCCTGAGCCTGTGAATCTCGCTGAAGTTGTTGTTCTCGTCTGCCCTCCATATTTCCTCTCCCAGCCTCTATTGTCTTGCCTTGTGTTCCAAGTCTGCCCTGCCGCTGCGCGGCGCATTTTGCATCTGCGCCAGCTCCGTCTTGATCTCCTCACATCTCTCCCGCGCGTCGGACTCTGTCAACGTTCAATTTCATTCTCTCTGCCGGTCGGGATTGTCGTAGTAACTGGATGGCGCCCCCCCCCTTGTCCTCCTGCTTTTTGTTGGTTGTGAATATTTGTCGTTGCATTCCTGCCCGCCTTGCTCCATTTCTCCCGCGTCTGGTCCGCCGTGGGGCGCTCCTGCAGCTCTCTCCATTCTTCTTCTGCCGTTCGCCCCCCCTCGCTAATGCTTCTCTTGGGAGCTCGGCAAGCTCCTCCTGGGTTGCACTCCGGCAGGGTCGCACTCCGAGAAAAGCTCGCTAATGCTTCTCCTGGCTGGCTGGGCGAACTGCAGGCGGCCGTCGAACGCGCTCAAGAATTCCGCCCCCATGCGCCCTTTCCTCAGGCACTCCATCAGCATGTTGCGGCCCACTTCCTTGATTGCTCTTTACTGTCGGTGCCTGCCCGGGAAAGTATGTTGATGTCCCAGTCAAAATTGCATGCCCAAATGGATGTAGTCGCTGTGTCCTCTCGCTTTTATCTTCTGTTTGTTTCCACTCCTCTCAATGCAGCGCACCTCCGCGCGTGGAGTTCAGAACCCGACGGCGTCGCTATGTGGTCTATCTTGCTCGTCCTTACCTTCTCGTCTTTCACGCACTAGTAGGTCGGCCAAAATTCGATGAAAGTCCTGACAACTGTAAATAAACCGTGGACGCAAAACTCCCTGAAAGCTGTACCTCCATCGATCTCCACCTCCTTGGCAACTGGCCCCAATGGTGCTGCGTGCGAGCCCGAACTTTGCCTGCTTACCATCAGGTCCCTTCTGTCTGACAAGCGCATTCCCAAGTGTCGGTTGATGTCCCATCCCGCTATGATAGTAGATCTGCCACCCGTGTCGTCACACTTCTCTTCCACCCGCTTCATATTGCGGCTGAGGTCATCCCATGGTGCGCCCTCAATCTGGCGACAATTACGTCGCGAACATTGTGACGTCGTATGCTCTCGCATCCTACACCCTGCCGTTCTTCCTTGCAGTTGTGCAGGTGTGTACAGCGTGTGGAAGCCGTTGTCTTTCATCATCTCGTTGGATGCCAGAAGCGTCGTCGCACCACGTGATCGGTTGATCCATGCTTCCCTTTTGGTCCCGGACTGCAGTGCCGTACGATATCTACGACTCGTTTTCTTCATCACTCTTGGACCAGCCCCACTGATGTGTCCGTGTCAGCACAATCACACCCACTTTCGTAGTGCACAACTAATTTCTTCCAGCCTGTCCGTGATACTCGCCGCCAGCGGATTGTAGAATACCAGTTTCATCAATGCACATATCGAGAGCACTGCAACCGCCATCCATCTGCCATGCCCCCCTGGCTCCCTTCCTGGCCCGTGCGATTGCTTGGCGGTCGTCGTGTGAAAGAGTTTCAGCAAATTCTCTCCCCGTCGAATCTCCAAGTGCCTGAGCCTTCAACGCCGACTAGGAGGAAGAGTAGGAGGAGGAGGAGGAGGAGGAGGAGGAGGAGGAGGAGGAGGAGGCGGAGGAAGAGGAGGAGGAGGAGCAGGAGGAGGTGGCTGGTGAACAGGGGGAACATAAGGATAAAGAGGGGGAGGGAGGAGCATGACGAGAGCGAACAGCAGCAAAAGGAACTGAAGCGGAAGGAGTTGGAGGAGCAGAGGGACCAGAGGAAGGCGGACGAGGAGAAATGAGGGGGCGACAAAGATGAAGCAGGACCCAGATCCAGAAAAATGGCCAACGCTGGGGCAAAAACGCAACACCGATCCGAAAACGAGGCCGGCGCTGCACCGGGAGCATACTTTGGAAAAGCAAGGAACAACCGAATTGCAACACCACGTCAAATCAACCTGTTGTAATCCTCGGAAAAGCAAGTCATCCTGGCGAGGGGCCCAACCATATGAAGCTGCGGGTACCGCGAGGCAAGTGAGAAGAAGCATGTGGGGGGAAAAGCGAATGGTGTGCCAACATAGGGCGCGTGCGCCATGTGGACCCTGCCACTCGGGCATGGGATGGAGCTCCCTGTGGGGCCACGAACGTGTGAGGGTTGAACAGACTCGAACGCGGGTATGTCATGCGGACCCTGCCGCTGGGGCCTTCGGTGGAACTCCCTACGGAACCACAGCACGGTAGAATGCGGGCACGACATGCAGACCCTGCCGCCGAGCCTTCGGTGGACTCCCTCCAGGGCCGCAAAACGCGTGAAGGGTGTGGTGTGCCCGATCGGTTGCGGGTACGCCACGCAAATCCTGCCTGTGGGGCCTTCCGTGGAGCTCCCAATGGGGCCACGAAACGTGTGAGTGGTGTGCTTAATCGGGTGCGGGTGCGCCAGACGGATCCTGCCGCTGGAGCCTTCGGCAGAGCTCCAAATGTGGCCACGAAGCGTGCGAGGGATGCGCGGAGCTCCCTCCAGGGCCACGAAACGTGCGAGGGGTGTGCCGAATCGGGTGCGGGCACGCCATGCGGATCCTGCCTCTGGGGTCTTCGGTGGAGCTCCCTATGGGGCCACGGAGCGTGTGAGTGGTGTGCCGAATCGGGCGCGGGTACGCCATGCAGACCCTGCCGCTGGGGCCTTCGGTGAGGTTCCCTATGGGGCCACGAAGCGTGTGATGGATGTGCTGAATCGGTTGCGTGTATGGCATGCAGACCCTGCCGCCGGGGCCTTTGGTGGAGCTCCCTCTGGGGCCACGAAGCGAGTGATGGGTGTGCCCAATCGGGTGCGGGTACGAAATTGCGGACCCTGCCTCTGGGGCCTTCGGTGGAGCCCCAATGGGGCCACGAAACGTGTGAGTGGTATACCGAATCGGATTCGGGTACGCGCGATGGTGATTAGATGGGGCCCATGCAGGGCAAAAGCAGGGATTCGAGGAGGGAGGAGGGGGAGGAAGAAAGAACGAACGCAGGGCGCTCTCTCTCTCTCTCTCTCTCTCTCTCTCTCTCCAAAACGAGGACACACCACAAAAGGATGGTTAGGGAAAACAAAAACAGGGAGTGCCGAACATCTTCCGTGCAGAATCAGGGGGAAGAGGCAAGCAATATTCACAATGTATAAGTACGCGGGAGCAGGGACGAGGAGCGGAGGGAGGGAGAAGGGAGCAGAGATTTTGTCCTGCACCAGCTTGTCTGGATCGTCGTCGATGCGGCCGTACATCAGTACGTATCCGCGCCATGAAGTCCTTTTGTACTTGTAGCCCAACGGTGTGAGGGTCTCGTCGTCCTCGTCGGCGAAATTTGCCCACCCACACCCCTGCAACTTTCTGACCTTGCCCTTCGTCTTTACCTTCCCGGAGTCATACGCCTCCCGCTTCCGAGGGTCATACAGCGTGTCGAACGCCTCGTTGATTCTCTTAAAACGCTCGGTCGCATCCTCCAGGCGGTGGCGATTCTTATCCGGATGCCATGCCATGGCCTGCTTCCTGGGAGGACAAAAAGGTAACCATATTTGAACTCCCCAGACATCTCCCTGGGGGGGGGTCCTGAAGGGGCCCTGGGACAAACCACATTTTAACTCCTCAGACATCTCCCGCGGGGGGGGGTTCTTGAAGGGGCCCTGGGACACACAAGTACATAGACACAATCAAAAGGATTCCCTATCTTTTTCCTATGTTTTCTGTTTTTTGACTTCACCCCACTTCCCATATTTTCTTATATTTTCTGGGGAATCGACAGTTGATTGTGTCTGTGTTTTTCCCCTCCCGAATTCTGACCAGGATTTCGAGGCGAAGCCAGCCGTGGCGACGAGAGCCGCCCCAGAGGCCCGAAAAGGCAGACGCGATGGAAGGGCAACGGCGTCGATGCCTTCTCTTGCCGTCGCTCGGACGTCCATTTCCCGTGTATTTTTCGGCTTCGTGGGTGTTTTTGTTTTGCTCGATGGTCCAGGGTGCTCCTCGATGGTTCTCGCCGAGAAAAAGTGCACACGTCCGAGCGATGCCAAGCTTTCCTCCCCTGACTTCCGGTAGCCCTTCTTGATCTGCTCGAACGTGGCCTCCAGTGGCACGCGGAGCAGCTGGTAGAACTCCGGCAAGGGCTCCTCTATGGAAGGCGGCGGCGCCGGGAGCGGTGGCGGGTCCGGCGGGCCCCCACCGCCGTCGTCCGCTGCGGCGCGCAGAGGGAGCTGCGGGGCAACCGAAAGGTGCCACCGATACCGCGACTCCCTGGACGTCTACCTGGGCGCGTGCTGACCATGACTGGGCGTTGGCTGATCTGGGTTTAGCGGGACCTGGTTTCGTGATGTGTAATGGGGGACGCCCCCTCCCCGCCCAGGTCCACCCACCGGAACCGTCGCCACCAGAAAAAAAACACCAGCTGCGGCAGACCTGGTCCGGGTGGACAAACCTGCCTTTAGTAAACCATCCTTTGACGCAAACGGCCTGGGACCGAAACCAACGGACCTGGACCCGCAAAAGCGACGGCCGAGACGCCCTCTCGCGAACCGACAACGGCCAATTCGCGAATCGACGCGTCAAGGCAAGAGGTCTGCCCACCCCCGATTCTACCCGGCGGGCTTTCGGCGCAAATCCAGCGGCGGCGGCGAGGTCCTCCCCTCGCCATCGTTCGGACGTCCATTCCCTGTGTTTGTTTCGGTTTCGTGCGTGTCTTTTTTTTCGCCAAATGATCACCTCGATGCTCCTCGATGCTCCTCGATGCTCCAAATGATAGTGTTTTTTTGGATGCTCCTCGATGGTCCTCGCCGAGGAAAAATGCACACGTCCGAGCGATGCCAAGTCCCAGGAGGCCCGAAGAGGGGGGGCAGCGAGGGCGGGGGGCCTCAAGACGGCAGGCGGCCCGCGGGCCCGACAGGCGGGTCCTCTTCGCCCCCGTGGCGTTTTTCCCCGAGGGCCGGGCGGCGGCCCCGAAGGGGTGGGGGGGGAGAGGGGGAGGGATGGATGGGGGGGGGAGGGGGGGGGGGGGGGAGGGCGGGGGGGGGGGGGGGAGGGGAGGGAGGGGGAGGGGAGGGGGGGGGAGGGAGAGGGGGAGGGACAAGCTAGGTGCGCTCGCGTCATATCTGACGTCCTACCCCTCCCTCCCATCCCTTACCATGGCGCTGATTTTCTCTATCCGCGGACGCGTGTCGTAGCGGACCTGTGGCTCCGCGCGCGCGTGCGTAGTGGGTGGTGGTGCACGTGCGTGCGTGCGTGCGTGTGTGCGTGGTTGTCGTGGTGGTGGTGGTGGTGTGGTAGTGGTGGTGGTGGTGGTGGTGGTGGTGATGGTGGTGGTGCTGGTGGTGGTGGGTGCTGGTGGTGGTGGTGTTGGTACTGGTGCTGGTGCTGGTGGTGGTTGTGGTGGTGGTGGTGGTGGTGGTGGTGGTGGCGGTGCGGCGCGGTGGTGGCGGGCGGATGGGCGCGCGAGAAAAAGGCCCGCGCTGGGGCGAGAACGCCATCCTGAACGACGGAGGCCAAACACCGATCCGAAAATGAGGCCCACGCTGCAGCGGGAGCACGATTCGGAACGATTCGGAAGCAGAAATGAGGCCGGCGCCTCAACGAGAGCAGCATTTTGGGAAGAAATGACGCCGGCGCCTCAGCGAGAGTCGTTTCCCGGGATTTCCCGGGCATCCTGTGTAAAAAAACAGTACGCGGAGGGTACGCGGCCATCACCTGGACGCCATCAGGGGAAGAGGAAGAAGATTGTATTTTCGGAGCGGGCGTCGTCCTCAGGGCCCGTCCAAGCGGATCCAGGGGCGAGATGCGATCTGGCCCCTGGGGGCGGTCGGGGGCCTCCGGGGCCGCGGGCCGGAAGCGGGTCCTGCGAGCGGAGGTCCGGAGGGTTGGCTTCGCGGGAGGGCTCGGACCGAGGTTCCGAAGGAGAGGCCCAGTGCCTCTCCGACTGCAAGCTCGCTCCGACCCGCCCATGGCAGCGCTTCGAGCCGCGCCCGCCCGTGGCCCTCGAGGGCCAGCAGAGACGTCCAAGACTCACCCTCCCAATGTAGAGGTCTCCCAGGTGGGGTCAGAGAAGATGGGGTCGGTTGGCGGCGCGCACAGGGGGGGGTAGGGGGAGGGGGGAAGGCTTCTGAGAAGCACCCTTGCTTCTTAGAAGGCGCCGGCCCTACATCTCTAGGCAAGGCCCGCGCCTTCTTAGAAGCAGGGGTGCTTCTAAGAAGCCTTCCCCCCTCCCCCCTACGCCCCTCTGCGCGTGGCCGGGACGGAGGATCACGCCGCATCGCTGATGCATCGGCAACGTTGGCGATGCATCGATGGGCACCGCTGGCGAGAACGTCGGGCTCCACATCAAGCCGCACCAACGATGCATCGGCGACGCGGCGCGATCCTCCGACCCCTCTACTCGGACGCCATGTGTTGAGCAGGGACCGACCGACCCGGCATTCCTATAGTCCTACCACGAAGTTTTCTTAGAACCCAAAATGTTCTTAGCATTTAGACAGTGTTCTTAGAACATAGACCCCAATGTGTTAAGCCAAGACAGCCCCAGCCAAACATGTGATAAGAGCATGTTGTGTAAACCACAAACAAATTCTTAAAACATTATTTGGTGGGACTATATAAGCGAACCGGGACGCTTCGCCACTGCTTGCCATTTGGGATGCCTGGGCGGGAAGCGCCGCCCCCTCCCACGCGCCGCCCTTCGCCAGGCTCTGGCGGCCGCGCCGGGCAGGGCATGCCGCGGGCGACGCCCCCCGAGGCGCGCGCCCGCAGCACGGCCGCGTCGGCCGCCTTTCGGCCACACGCAAAAGTGGCCACTGGTGTAAAGTCGGGCGCGTCCCTCTACAGGGGGGATATTCAAAAATAGTAAAAAATAGTCGGGGATGTTGTTTTTTTTCTATATTTTATTTTTGACCATTTGGGACTATGTTTGGGGGATTTTTTGTTTTTCGTCGAAAATCCCCCTGTAGGGGGACACGCCCGCCTCAACACTGGTGCGGAACTTCAGGAGGACGCGGCGAAGCCAGATCAAAACGCACAGGCCAATGCAACACAAATCACTCCCTGGCACTGGAATGTTCCGGCATAGATCTGGTCTGGGTAGGGACCTGCGTTTGGTGTCCCCAAATGTACTTCAACCCTGGAGGGACCTGACCCAGAACAACTTCTGAGGGGCCCAATAGGGTGGGCACGAAGAGCCATTTCAAGCCCTCTGCCCCGAGACTCCAACGGCTGCTCACGCAAGACTTCAAAGACACTGAAACTACCACCACCCATCGACGCCGCAGGGGCAACGAACACGCTGGAAAACGCCCGCGCTGGAATAGTCTTGGCCGGCGGGACGAGCGAAACGATTGAATATAGAACTCACGCTCCAGGAGGATACTGGACAGTCTCTACATGGGGCAGAATGTGACCCCAGACAAGTCGAGATCGAGAGAAGCGCAATCCGAGGCAACTCTGGCAGGAGGCCCGAATCGGGAATCACCCCTGGCCACCACCTGCCATGATGCCTGCCCAGGAGAGCCCAGAATCGAATCGAGAAGTCGGATCGGCAGTCGAAATGAATCGGATCGGCGGAAATCGGCAGCCGAGTCGGGAAAAGTCGAATCGGCTGAAATTGGCGGGCTAGTATGCCTCCAATGAGAAATCGGAACCCAAATCGGAATCCCAAGTCGAATCGATTTGGAATCGGAAGCCATCGAAGTCGAATCGAAACGAAACGAGCCCTGCCTGCCTGCACTGCCATCAACGATGCGGCGCGATCCTCCGACGCCATCTGCCCCGACCTGACCCTGGAGGCTGAGAGCGGGGCCGTGGACACGGACATGTCTGCCACCCGCGATGCGACGGGAGTTCTGCCATGGCCTCATGGAAATTACAGTGGGGGCATTGCCCTAAGGAACGCTGAATAAGGAACGAGGCCCCTGTTCCCCATCAGTTAAAGTTCGATTTCCCATGGAAAACCTAAGGAAAACCTGAGGCAAGCTGTGAAACAATCAAGGAACACGGAGCCCCTCCCCAACGAAAAGGGTTCCTTCTTCAGGGCCCCGACTGTATCAGTGGCTCAGGATGCGCTTCCTGGATTTCCAGTGAATCCGGCGGCCCTCGTTTCTGCAGCCCCTGTGGAGCATCAGAAAAGCTGCGAAGTCCTGGATATCCTGGAGCTTAGTGGGCCTCGGAAACGGCAGGGTCGTTTTTTCACCGTTTCCCAAAACATGTCCCTTGAAAATGGAAACGGCGAAAAAACGGCGACCGGAAACGGCCAACAAAAACGGCTCCAGGATTGGAACAGGAGCCGGAACCGGTCGAAAAAACGGCGACGGAACCGGTAAACAAACGGCGTCGGAGCCAGCAAAAAACGGCAAACATAACCGGAAAAAAAACGGCCCTGTCGTTTCCAGGGCTCACTAGGTTCCAGTGTATCCAGCGGCCCTCGTTTCTGCAGCCCCTGTGGAACATCAGAAAAGCTGCGAAGCCCTGGATATCCTGGAGCATGTCATTACAGTCGGAGCGTTGACCCAAAGAACCCTAAATAAGGAAAGAGGCCCCTTTTTCCCTACCTAGTCTCTGCCTAGAGGGTTCTTACTCTCTTAGCTTAAAGGGGCCGGGCAGTGCTAAGCGCCCCGGGCGGTTCCCCCAGTCCCCGCCCCGCGGTTCCCCCAGTCCCCTGGGAGATTTAGCTTTAGCTTGTAGCTTTAGCTTTAGATTTAGCTTAGCTTTAGCTTAGATTTAGCTTAGCTTTAGCTTAGCTTTAGCTTAGCTTTAGCTTAGCTTTAACTTTAGCTTAGCTTTAGCTTAGCTGTAGCTTAGCTTCAGCTTAGCTTTAGCTTAGCTTTAGCTAGCTTTAGCTTAGCTTTAGTTTAGCGTTGGCTTAGCTTTAGCTTAGCTTCAGCTTAGCGTTAGCTTAGCTTTAGCTTAGCTTTAGTTTAGCGTTATCTTAGCTTTAGCTTTAGCTTTAGCTTAGATTAAGCTTATATTTAGCTTAGCTGTAGCTTATACTTAGCTTAGCTTTAGCTTAGCGTTAGCTTAGCTTTAGCTTAGCTTTAGCTTAGCTTTAGCTTAGCTGTAGCTTAGCTGCAGCTTAGCTTTAGCTTAGCTTTACTGTTACTACTAATGCTGCTTTCCTAGGGGCTCCAACTCCTAGGTAGGGTCGCACTGGGATAATTTCCATAAGTTAAACTTCGATTTCCCATCGAAAACATAAGGAAACCCTGAGGCAAACTGTGAAACAATTAAGGAACACGGAGCCCCTCCACAACGAAAAGGGTTCCTTCTCCAGCGCACCGACTGTATTATGAGCTCTGCTTGCTGCTCTGGCACGGGCTCCGACGCTCTGGCAAAGGGCCATTCTTGCGCGTAGAGCCGCACCTCTCCCAGCAGCGCCGCCCGCGCCGCCGCCTCCGCGCGCGCGGCCCGGCGCTCGCCCGCCGCCGGCGCCTCTTGGGGAAACCAAGCGACGCCGCGATACCGCTAACTCCGTCTGGCCATCGCTCGGACGTCTATTCCCTGTGTTTTTCCCTACCTAGGCTCTGCCTAGAAGGGTTCTTACTCTCTTAGCTTAAAGGGGCCGGGCAATGGAAAGCGCCCCGGGCGGTTCCCCCAGTCCCCTGGGAGCGGTTCCCCCCAGTCCCCTGGGAGCTTTAGCTTTAGCTTTAGCTTAGCTTTAGCTTAGCTGTAGCTTAGCTGTAGCTTATCTTTAGCTTAGCGTTTCGCTTAGCTTTTCGCTTAGCGTTTAGCTTAGCTTTAGCTTAGCTTTAGCTTAGCTTGAGCTTAACTGTAGCTTAACTTTATCTTAGCTTTAGCTTAGCTTTAGCTTAGCTTTAACTGTAGCTTAGCTTTAGCTTAGCTTCAGCTTAGCTTCAGCTTAGCTTTAGCTTAGCTTAGCTGTTGCTCAGCTTTAGCTTAGCTTTAGCTTGACTTTAGCTTAGCTGTGGCTTAGCTTTAGCTTAGCTTTAGCTTAGCTTTAGCTTAGCGTTACTGTTACTACTAATGCTGCTTTCATAGGGGTTCCAACTCCTAGATAGGGTCGCACTGGGATAATTTCCGGTTTCGAGCGTGGCTTTTTCGCCAAATGATGAAGGACGCTCCTCGATGCTCCTCGCCGAAGGAAAAATGCACACGTCCGAGCGATGCTAACTCCGTGGATCTCTCCCGGGGTGCGTTCCGACCAAGGCTCCGATGCGAATCCAGCGGTGCCGACGGGGGCCTACCAGGAGGCCCCAAAGAGGCGGGAAGAAGCAACGGCACCAGCATCAGTGCCCCGCCGGATGGCTTTTGACAAATAAACTTGGGACGATCAGGGCACCGCCGGAAAGCTCCCGACGAGGCGGTAGAACGACGACAACGCCCAAAAAACCTCGAACCTCGAACGCCTCGGGTAGTGGCATCGGTGCATCCAACTCCTCCTCGGTCGGTCGGTCCAGAAGGGTCATATCCATCCGTGACAACCAACATAAAAAAAAGTAGGCGAGACAAGTTGGGGAGCAACGCGGCAAAAAAGGATATAGCGCGCAAATAAGACATCTTCTCCTCCTCCTCCTCCAACTTCTCCTCCTCCTCCTTCTCCTCCTCCTCCTCCTCCATCATCCCTCCTCCTCCTCCTCCTCCTCCTCCTCCTCCTCCTCCTCCTCCTTCTCCCCCTCCTCCTCCTCCTCCTCCTCCTCCTCCTCCTCCTCCTCCTCCTCCCTCCTCCCTCCTCCTCCTCCTCCTCCTCCTCCTCCTCCTCCTCCTCCTCGCCCTCCCCCCGGGCTGCCGCACCCTCGCGGGCCGCCGCCGCCGGCGGGCGCGGCGGGCGCCGCGGGCGCGGCGGCCGCGCGCGCCCCGGAAGGCCCCGCGGCCGCGGGCCGCGCGGGGGCGCTCGCGCGCTGGCCGGGGGCCACCTGGGCGCCGCCGCCCAATTTTTGTTACATGTTCATATATTTTCCAATATGTTCTCTGTTGTTTTACACATGTTCGTATATTGTCCTAGCTTTAGCAAATTTTCTTACAATTTTTCATATGTGTCCCTATCTTTTCGCGGTCGTGTGTCTTCGACGCGGCCTCACGGTGGAGCCAGAGCCTCATGACTTCGCTCTTCCATGGCCCATGCTCCGAGAGGGGGGGCCGGCGGCAGGGGGCGAAGCCCTTACGGATAGACACACATAAAATGGTTATATTTGTTTCCTTATGTTATGGGTGTTTTGTCTTCCCGCCCACATTCCATCTTTTCCTGTATTTTCTGGGGGGTCGACGATTGATTGTGTCTGTGTGTTTGTTTTCCCCCTCCCGAGTGCTGACCAGGATTTCGAGGCGAAGCCAGCCGTGGCGACGAGGGCCGCCCCAGAGGCCCGAAAAGGCAGACGCGATGGAAGGGCAGCGGCGTCGATGCCTTCTCTTGCCGTCGCTCGGACGTTCATTTCCCGTGCATTGTTCGGCTTCGCGCGTGTTTTTTTTGCTCGATGGACCAGGGCGCTCCTCGATGGTTCTCGCCGAGAAAAGATGCACACGTCCGAGCGATGCCAAGCCCAATGCAGAAGGGCACCCTCTTGGGTGAGGGGGGGGGCCCTCTGGGGGGCTTCTCGGGCCCTCTGGGGGGGGCCCTCTGGGGGGCTCTTGGGACGTTCGCCCGCTCTTGCTGCCGGGAGGCGACCGCGCCGCGCGGGACGACCCGAAGGGCGCCCTTCTGATTGCGCTCAGCGCCCCGCCGCCGCCGCTGGCCGAGGTTATGATTTTCGGCGGTGCACAACCCTCCCTTTCGCAAACCTCCCCCGAGGGTACCCTTCAGCTGGCAGGGGTCGGCCTGCCACTCC